TTTCCTGCCAATTCTTGTTGTTGCTGTTGCCTTTGCGTGCTGTGCTGTTCACAAGTTGGCAGTGAAAGAGCGTTGGCAGAGAACTCCTGTTCAGCAGCAGGCAAACAGCAAAGAGGCGGGAAAACACAATATATATATAGTGAGGAGGGGGAAGGGTGAGAAGACCCTGGCCCCAGAAGACTGCTGGGCCAATAAAAATAATAATCGAACTGCAGCCGCATTGCGTTGGCCGCAAAGTTATTGCCCATTGGCTCTGATCGATTGGGCCGTAAAGGTGGGTGAGCAGGGGGCTTTCTGGAAGAGGGGGAAGGAGTGAGAAAAGAAATGGGAGAGGAAAGGCACTGCCGTTGGCTGGCGATGGTAATTTGATAATTGACAACGCTTTCTGCTCGAAAGTTTCATAATATCCAGAGGGATTGAGTAAGCGGAGATCCACAGGGAAACCAAAAAAGAAAGCATTACTCACAGTCTAAGTGAAGACAGAAGACAGATTAACAAATATCCAAACATCCCAATAGTAATTTATTGCCCAGCCCTGCTTAAGCCGAGATCTTCAAGGAAACTTCTTAATAAACCTCAACGATCCCTGGACCAATTCCAAAACATACCCAGCTGACCCCAATCCACATCCGCCAAATGATCATTGCGATTGCCCAACCGTCTAGCCGACTAGCATTTGCCACTTCATCGGCAGGCCAAGCCATAATCACAGTTGGCCAAATCGTTGATCCCATTTACCCTCGACCAGGGCAGAAAGCTCCTCCCCGGCCATTATTACCGAATCCTAATCATATACATACTGACGAAGCCCGAGCTGGAGCCATCAACCGCTCAGTCTAATGAACTCTTGAACCGGAATGTCTTACTAAATCCACTAGATCCACTGGGATCTCGGTGGATCTGTAAGCTGAGATCTCTGATCTGGGGATCTGGGCAATATGAAAATCTCATTCGCACGCCAAATTGATTTCAATCAGCGAACAATAAAGCAATTTCCTTAGAATTTCACACTTCAATTCACCGACTGAGTGGCTGACTGGCTGACTGGCTGACTGGCTGAATGACTGACTGACTTGACCCAGTGCTCCACAATCGGCTGGCAATCTGGCCAACAATATATAGATACTCGTGCATATACGGCTGCCAAATCTCCCGAATCAGCCGTGAAGTTTGTACAATTCTTTGGCACTTTTGCAGCTGACAATGAGTTGGGGAATAGAGGAGGGGAGCAGAGGGGATGAGCGGAAACAGCTGCGCCTGCGCACGCTTCTAATAATGGACGTTGGACGACGCCCACCGGTGGCCTGGGCGATGATTTATGAGGCGGCTCCTCCATTTGCGGCTAAAGCCTAGCCAAAGAGAAGTGAAAACTCGGCTTCAAGGGTGTGAAAAGTGGCAAATGAGTTGCTTGTTGTTTGCCAGCACAGAATCTCGGATAATGCAAAACAAAATGCCCGCAAATTGCAGCCACGACCGGATCTGGAAGATCTGGCTGGGAAGCTCCGCTCTCGTTCCCCCACAGCCCAGCAGCACTCAAGATTAATCGCCAGGCCTTTGAAGTGACGCCAAGTTTGGTGTCAAAAACTGCGGTAAACAAAAAGCAAGGCCCAGGCAAACGAGCGGTGAGTGTAAATGAAGCTTCATCGCTCGCTGAAGCAGAAAATCACTGAAGTTTCTATTAAAAATAAAGATTTTTTAACGAAATTAGTATTTTTTCAGCTTATTTGAAAGTTAAACTCTTCTGAACTTAAGAGTTCTCCATTTATTTCTAGGAACACTTCTCTCAGTGTAAAGTGAAGCTGAAGCCGCCGTCGCAGACCCAGTTGTCTTCCCATGTGGGCCCACCCACGCACCTCTCTTCAGCGGCACTTTGCATTAAGCCAAGTCGAGTGTTGAAGTCGCCTCTTATTTTATTTTATTTGCAGCTGCGGCTGAGGCTGAGGCTGTGGCCGGGATACAGCCGAATAACGGCAGATCCCCCCATTATGTTGAGCCACCCACTCGAGCCAGGTGGAGTGGAAAGGATGAAACTCGAGATCATAAAGGAACCGAGGAGCTCGCTTTGGAGAACTGGCAGCTTGAACTTGCCCCTGGCTGGGGATGGATGGATGGATGGATGGGGATTGATTACAAGCGGATCACAGCGGATCAGGATAAATGAGGTAAACATCATTAGACGGAGGTGAAAACTGGTCTCCGCTCTGCGATCTTTGTTTGCCATAATGACGAATTGTTATTCTTCGTGACGGCGGAGAAGTACGGGAAGAGAGGCTCGAAGATTAGAGTATCATTTGCATAAATCGATCAGATTGTCTCGGAGGCTCTGTGGATTTGCCTTAATGATGATAGTCATGGTTGAGGGGCGAGGTGGAGAAGGGGATTTCTTTTATTTGAGGCGAAGAAATCTCCATGACAAGTGCCTGGAAAAGCCTCTTCTCGAGTATCCTGACTTTCTCGATTATTTCTTTACTGCGGAGTTGTATAAAAGTTGTAAAATAAATTAAATTAAGTGGATACGAGTGTGCGGAAAGGCTATAAGACAAGGATGCTGATCTTCTAGCATTAAGTTTATAATGAATAATATATAATGTACTTAAGAATCGGATAATTGTCGGCAATGCTTTCCCCTATTCACTCTCTTCCTCTTGACTTTTCCCACTCCAGCCGAATCGCCCATCTCAAATATCCTTAGACCCTGGTAAGCCACTGACCCCCGCTGACGTTTAACGACTATTAACCCCCGACAACCCTTAACACTTGGCACCTCTCTCGCCCACCCAAGCCCCCACTCTTCCGCCTTTCGAGACCACCGGCTTTGATTTCCCAGAAGCCCCACAACCATCGTTTTGCACATTTTTCTACTTAGCGCAACAACTTTAAACGGCAACTTGCCAAAGTCAGGCAAAACTCAGTTTCAGCTGAGGAAAACTGGGGGAGAAAAACCGAGGCAAAGAAAGGCATTTGCCACAAATCGGATTTCCTGCATCGATTTGCGGTCTTCGCACGCGCCTCGAACTCAAAACTGATGCATAAAGTGGATCACGGAGCAATGACTGCCTTTGAGCAGATCTCAGATCTCATCTCTTCGAAACGAGAGCGACCAGAATCCCCGGCTCGGCTCGATATCAGAATCAAAGACAACGCACTGGCACTCGCACTCGAATGCCAGAGATATTTCCCAAGGAAATAGAAGAGATTCTTGCGCTGGCCCCGCTTTTCCAAGAAGCCATCCAATGCCAGAAGAAGGAAACGAGTGCGAGGCTGACAAGCTTTTCCCTTATTTGTCATATGTGGGCTCCGCGATGAGCACCAAGCAGATGGACGACATGTTTGACGGATGAGAGTGATCTCGAAGAGTGTGTGCGGAGAAAGATTGGTACAACGATCACGAGTTGCGCTGGCAGAAAGATTAGAGGAAGTCTTTTGGAATATTTAAGATTAGTATAGAGTGTTTGATGCTCCTCTAAGTACTCAACAAACGGATACCCTCTAACTGATGTAAAACCGTTCATGTCTTTGCTAGACTTTCAACATCTAACAAAGTTCGAGCCATAAAAGTCAACAGCTGTCCGTAAGTTAGTCTATTTATGAGCCCATCCTGAAGGGAGGACCCTGTCCTAATCGATGGGCACTGGGTGTGGAGAACATGTTTGCCCCAAGTCATTGGCAGATCCAAGCTGATTGTCCCCCCACAGCATTCCAGCGCCTGACAACGTGCCAAAATAGCCCTGGAGGTTTCTATCGAAGGGCCAGGCCAGGTCCAAACTAATTGCCTGGGCACGCCTTCAACTTCGTTGCCGAGTGGAGGGAGGGGCAGATGAGGCAGAGGGGATCTCATCAAGCGCCAATGCATATTCATAGTCATAACGAGGTTTGAGGTCTGCCGTGTTCACACAACCTGCCACTTCTCCTCCGCTTTAGACACTCCTCATAACTGCACAATTAGCTGGTTATTTTAATTGGCCAAAGCCAAAAAGAGAGATGGAAATAACAAAAAGTTTAGCAAGTGCAGGCAGAAATCGAGGTGACAACACATAGGAAATGTCTAAATATACAAACAAAAGCTGGACAAGGCATAACTCACCGGGCAGGGGAGCGGAGAGCTGGGAGCGGGGGAACTGTAACTCCAAACAAGTTAATGAATGTATCTGGGAAATACATCTGCATGGAGCGGCCGCGCAGCGAGAGAAAGACTCGACAAATAGAGTTGGCCGAAAAGCAAAAAGCGGCTATAAAAAGCGTTAACAAGGCAACAACAGCAATTGGCAACAATAAAATACACTTAGCAGCCGAAGAAGAAGCGGATGGCTACTAAATTGCTGTTAACAATTCTCAAAGAGCCCAGCCAGCCAGCCAGTCAGCCAGTCAGGCAGTCAGCCAGGTAAAGGCAAATAAATATTTCTGTCTTCCAAATGTGGGTCAACATGGAAGACCTCCCCCTTTTCGTTTTATAGAAGTTTTTCAATGCCAACGGCCAACATTTCACTCAGCCAACTCCGCAAACTCTTTCTCTCGCGTGCTAGGCAGATTCTAACTACCGTTTAAAAAGTATCCATTGGATATCTCAACTCAGCTCCCTCTCCGCACTCATTAATCACCTTCACTCAGTCCCAGAAGTCCATTCCAAACAGCCTGCCAAATGTGTTCCACGCAACGGCCCAATCTCTGGATACCCCTGCCTGTGCCTGGAACGAAGCCCACAGTTGGCTTTTATCACAAGATCCTTCCAAAATAAACTACACAGCCCCTAACGCAAAAAGAAAAGCTAAAGAAAACACATTTGTGTGCCAGATTCCGGAGCATTCGCGGACTGCGTGAAGAATGTGCAGTCGAACGAGACCGAAGCCGATTCTGTAGCAGCTCTTAATGGGTTTTGGGTAAACAACTTGGCGGGACATGCAAAAATATGCATCCATTATGGGGCCACCTCAATGAATTTGAGTGATTTTATGGACTCTCAAAGGGAATTTGACTTGGCCAAAGTTCACATCAAAAACATATTTTCGTTTGGGTAATAATTTATTCATGTCGAGTCGAAGTCAGTACTGATTAGCTAGCTTAACCGTGGTAGGTGTGGTGTCCGTAGGATGGCACGGCGTAGGACTTCAGCACGGGGACATGCTGGACCACTGGGACGTGCTTGACGACAGGGACATGCTGCACCACTGGGACCTGCTTCACCACCGGAACGTGCTTCACCACGGGAACCTCCTTCACCACCGAGACGTGCTTCACCACGGGAACCACATGAGCCACGGGAAGAACATGAGCAGCAGGAACCACGTGAGCAGCCGGAACCACTCCGTAAGAGGGCTCAATGTAGCCAGGAGCAGCAAAGGCGAGTGCAACCAGGGCAAGGATCACAGCGATCTGAAGAGGTATTTTAGGGTTAATTTACACCAAGGGATGTGGGATACACCCTTGTACTTACAGTGCGGAACATGTTGGTATGTTGATTTTAAGTTCTAAAGATCTTTGAGATATTTTCACTTGAGTGGTAGTCAGTGGACTGTTGATGCTGACCAACGGATCGGATACTTTATATAGCCAAAAGTCGCGACAATAATGACTCCTCAGCGGACCAATAGCCATGATTTCAGATAATTCTTTGGTTTAATTGAGAGAATGGATTTAGATTTATCAGCTGACCCAGAAGCGTCCTCATATCGGTCTTTATTTGGCTGTGGCCTTGGTTCTCGGTGGTCATCACAAACGCGTGGAGCCGATCGATATAATGACAATGATCTTGGCAAAGAGACAATAATAGGCTTAAACAATTGAATGGTTTACGAGCGGGGATTATGTCCAAAGGTGAACAATAACGACCGATAACTGGAAGTGGTTTTCCGGTGGAGATGACCCGAAATAGAATGCGCATTATCTTCGATATCTAAATTGCTTTTAATTAAACTGGTTTGTCGCGTGGCGCTCCAACAGAAGCCAAAGCGGGGGCTATTTTCGGCCGAGGTGTTAACTACTATATATAATGATGCCCCTGTTGGCCAATCATCATCAGTCTACCGACTAGCACTCAAGTGTATTAAGCTCAAAGTTGAAGTTTAAATTCCAATCTACAAATCAATATGTTCCGCATCGTAAGTAAAAGAGCAGATACTATATTCCTTGCTGGATTCTAACTGGGCAATATCTCTTCAGATCGCTGTGATCCTTGCCCTGGTTGCACTCGCCTTTGCTGCTCCTGGCTACATTGAGCCTTCTTACGGACTGGTTCCTGCTGCTCACGTGGTTCCTGCCGCTCATGTGCTTCCCGTGGCTCATGTGGTTCCGGTGGTGAAGCACGTCTCGGTGGTGAAGGAGGTTCCCGTGGTGAAGCACGTTCCGGTGGTGCAGCATGTCCCTGTCGTCAAGCACGTCCCAGTGGTCCAGCATGTCCCCGTGCTGAAGTCCTACGCCGTCCCATCCTACGGACACCACACCTACCACGGTTAAGCTAGCTAATCAGCACTGACTTCGACTCGACAGAAATAAATCACATCCAAACTTAACAAAGAATAAGTCATTTGCCTAATTAGTGGGACACTGCAGGAGTTTACGTTAACTTTAGATATGAAAAGAGAAGTAATACTGCCCGTAAAAATAGACAAACAATGGACGGAACTTCCTTCCATGGCCAGCACTTTCCATTTTCCACATTTAACACCATCTAATACTGTTTTACGGTCCACGGGCTTAAGTGGTTTCCATGTCCGCTGATCATTTTATGGGACATTTTGTTAAATTTGGTTTTCACCTCGCTCATTTCGTATTTGCGAATAGTCACACTCTGACTCGTAGTCGAGTCGTTAACAAGGTGGCAAGCTTCCAGAGAAAATTTCTTCATTAATCAGCGAAATAAAGTAACGCCTCTAGACTGCAGCTGCTGCATCTGCCATACGCCATCCGCCATCCGCCAACGTGTCCATAAAACCCAATCCCAGCTCGTCTTTAATTTGAGCCAATTAAAGTTGCGACAAAGCAAAGCCTTCGAGTCCCGCTGGAAGCCGAGAGCCGCCTTTCCCTTTTCCCCTGCGGCTACGACTGCGGCTGCGGCTGCGGTTCGATCTCGGCGTAAATGATGGACCCGAAACCGAATGGATCGTACATGAATTTTTCATTGTTTTTTATTCGGGCTTTATTCGGGTTATTAAATCGCCGGCTAGAAAAACTCTCAAGCGGATTGAAGACTGAAAACTGAAGACTGGTAAGCCGAAGAAATAAACAGAGAAAATATAAAAATAAATTGTGTTCGAAAGTCAATTTTGTGATCATGCTTTTGGGGCCTTTTTGTGGCTGCTTTTGTTTTTCCTATTGCCAAAAGATTTATTGTTCGCTTTTTCTTCTTAATTTTCCCCACATTTCATTTCGTTTTTCGGCTTACGGTTTTAGTTTCAGTTTCAGTTTTAGTTTCAGTTTTAGTTTAGTATAGCCTACCATCATTCCAGTTCAACTTCCTTACCAGCCTAATATTTCTCGCCCTGACTTTGGCAGCTTTATTTCTCAATTAGAGGGGAAAATGGCAATTTGCTGCTCGATTATGACGAAATCATTTGATCCGCCTCACATGTGACGCAGTCTCTCTCCTAGCCCTGCCTTTGTGTGGTTTGCTGCTGCTGCCTGCGGTAATGACTTCATCGTCATCCAGCTAGCCGAGATCCGCAGTTCGTTTGATAAATTATCCACCAGCTTGTAATAATATTTTGTTTGGCCCGCTCGGGGGGAGTTGCCGTCGATTCGGCGAGGCTGCTTTTGTTTTCGTTTTGTTAATTATCCGCTTTAATTGTTAATTTAAATCACGAAAGAAAGTGAAACTCAATATTGAAAACTGAAAGCCCATTTGAACTTGAGAGACCCTCGTCCATCTCTTTCCCGTGTGTTATTCTCTTATGAAATTGGGCGTGTTCCCGATCGATGGAGGAGAGAAAGGTTTTCTGATCCGATTGTTAGCGATAAGCGGAGATTGGTCTGGCTTTGGCGTTTGCTCTTGTGCTTGGCTAATGTGGAGTGGAAGACCTACTTAAGCAGCTGGTAATCGAACATTGAGGTAGCAGTTTAGTTCATCTGATTATTGGCCAAGTTTCTTTATGATCCTTCTGCAGTATATCTTTCCAATTACCATTCAGTTCGGACCAAGTTCGACTAAACGATGACAGATGAAATGGAAAGTATATTTAAAGGTCCATTTAACGGGAAAGTTGAACTATAACCGAACCAATGGGCAGTAATCGTAACTGAATTTTAAGTGCACTTGGGCTAACTACTCCCCGGCTGGGCTAATACGGTGGTAACAGTTTTATTGCCGCCCAGCGACTGCAGCTGGCCACATGGTCCGCATCCAGTCCAGACTGGAGCTAACTTATTGGGCGAAAGGTTACAGCCAGCAATTGTTATGCAAATCTGGCGGAGGGAGATTGCCGCGAACACAATGGACACCCATTCGATAGAATCGGACAAGCCAAGCGGCCAAGCGGCCAAGCGGCCAACCAAATCGAAATTTCAAATGCAAAATCCTATCGCGGTGAAACATGGAATTATGACTGCCATAAAGTGGAGCACTTCCTCGACTCCCGCACACGAAATCGAAATTGTCAATGCGATTATGGCCGCAGCTCTTAGCTAATCGCCTGGCCAGAGTCTAAATTGCACCACCTTCACTTTTCCGCCAGCTTTTCCAGGGAAGCCAGCGAAAAGCTAACTTATTTTCTCGCTTTTGTCACGCTGCTGCTGCTGCGGCTGCTGCTGCTTGTCTTGACCATTTTCGGTGGCCGCAGTTGGCCAGAAAACAAAGACATCCTGTCGTCGCAGGCGACAGGGAACATGATTGCTAACGGCTTTTCTTGGCCAGAACAGCGAGTGTTTAACCCATTGTGGCCGGCGAGGGCGTTGTTTCACTGCATATCTATAAGTAGGAAAACATTTCAAAAGGATTTATTTCTACTTTCTTCTATGTATGATTCCTACTCCAACTTTTTCCCACACAAGACAAACAAATTTTGGGTTTATGCCAAACCTACAGTTATTCTCTCTGGGCCTAACTCTGTTTTCTTCGGATTTTCAATTAAAAAGGATATTGCAGTCAGCACCTTGGGGAGCCAACTGTGATCTGAGCTCGTTACGACCATCGCCTTTGTCCGGCAGCTGACAAATTTTGGTTTTTGCTTCCCGGCGATCATCTCTCAATCTCAATCTCAATCTCAATCCCAGCTCCAAACCCAATCTCGATCCCCATCTTCCTCGGCCGCCTTTCCATTTGCTCGTTGGGTAGTAGCTATGGGGCTTGATTGCGTCGATCGACTTGTGGAATTGGAACTCCAGTTAACAGTTCGGACTTGGACACTGAATGCGTGTCTACGCCCCCGGGAACTGCAGAAGCAACCACTGCAGCCGCAGCCAATCGACAGAGACAAACGCCTAACAACTTATTGGAAATATGTTTAGCCATTTTGGGCAATTGACATTTGCTGCTGCCGTCGTCGTCTGTCGATACTGCCTGGCTCTGGCTCCATGAGGCTCTCTTTCTGCCATCGACAACGTGACAAAACAATTGTCGTAAATCAGGGGCAGCCAGCCGGAGTTTAGCGAGATAAGTTTTTTGTCTCGGCCATTTTTCGGCTAACTGCCCACAATGCAAACTCAACTTTTTCGGAGTTTTTCGCCTGGGTTGTGGGTTTTGTTTTACTTTCATTTGGCTCGTGGCTGGCTGCCTCTTTTCTTCTGTTCGGGGGGAAGGGAGGAGCAAGCTTGTGCAAGGAATTCCATTGAAAAAGCTTAAAAGGAATTTTCAATTAGGAAAAAATACGATTCCTGAATGGGTCAGGAAAATGGGTAAAGAAAGTCAGTCTTAGGAGGCGCTGGAATTGGTAGACTTTTTACATGAGTAATGAGGAAGTTTTAAGTTAAGGAAAGGAAATTAAATTTCATATCCCACCGATTCTTATGCAATATTCCTCCTCGCACCGATCAACTTCTGTCACGGTCAAAGCTCAACCGAAACCTACACAAATCAAAGCCACGGGCGGAGACCAAAGCCTCAAAGACTCTCTTCCGTCTAAGATTTTCCCAGCTCACACACAATTACATAATATGGGGAGCCCAGAGCCTTGTTTATGGACAATATTGCTCAGATAAAAATCCCCCTAAATCAGAGAAATACGAGAAGGAAAACCGAAAAGCGCAGAAAACAAATCTGTGGGCAATTCAGAGACGGAGACTTCGAATTTACTCTCCATTGAAGGTGTTACAAACGTCCGAATGCCAATTATCAAGCGGAGAGGTTCGACGAGGTTATCTCAAGCCCCGCCCCTCTCCACCCCCCCTTCCTATATTCCTCGCAGCAATTTTCACTTTCAGCTCAATAAATTTTCGTAACAAAAATAAAGAAAAAGCGAGGAAAACAAGGGAACATTGTTGTCTTGATTTTCGAGGGGAAGTCAATGGGGACTTGGGCAGGCGGCGGGGGCAATGAGAATGACTGACGGATTTCGTTTTTCTTTTCTTTTTCGAGATACAAAGCAAGTTGCACAATTTCAAGACGCACTAACGGAAGCCGCTGGAAGGGGAAAACTCCAACAAAAGGTGCATTAAAAACCAAAGTCACGAGGGGGCAGAAGCAAAAAACTATATAAAATGCGTAAAATTACATTTTTCGTTATGTTTCCCTACTCTTTTCGCTATTGGTTTTTTTTTTTTCTTTTGGTAAATGTGAATGAATATTTTTTAATTTAATTTAACTTTTTTCAGTTTTAATTTGTGAATCGTAAGGGGTATGGAAAGTTCATAGCATACATTTATGTGACAGGTATATAAATATCTTTACACTTAACGAGTTTTACGTTGCATAAAACTCGGGAAATTATTCTTCGATATACTTTGAAGCCCTGAAAGTATGCCCCAAATATTAAATACTGTCTAACTCACCGAGTGAACTGCTAGATGACGCTGCAATTCCGCGTTGCCAAACAATGTCAACTCCGTGATGGTCGGCGAGTTCTCCAATTTATTCTCCATTTCGCGCAGCCAACGCCGCAGCTCCTTGGGATCCTCACAGAGACCCTCGGGTCTTTGGGTCTCATCGAGCATCTAAGCAAAGTAATTAATTGCGAATTATAAACAATATTTAAAGAAGTTCACTCACCTTAAGGCAACATTCACTGGACTTTTCCAGCACTGTTGCTGCGCCCTCTATCTCACAACGCGCCTCTTTGCAAGTGTCCAAGAGGTTTGTGTCCATGATGTAGTTGTAGTTCGTTTGAATGGCCGCCCAGAGGTCGTCTTTGCCAGAGGAGCCTAGGCCCAAAGTGGCGCTGCTGTGGAGACTGGTTGAACTACACTGACTGTTTCCGCTTCCCCACGAATAACGGTGCATTTTGTTGCTGTGCGAATTTTTCTGAAAATTTTCAAAGAAAAACTATCTTAGTAAACAAAATTTAAGAATATATTACAAAATTACAAAGTTTCAAAATGCTAAAGGTATGTTTGGTGGCGCTTCTAGTGTTGACACTCGAAAGCACTGTAAGAAAATGTAAAAATTTTGTAGAAAATTGTAAAAAGTTTTCCAAATGCCAATTATGAGTTCTTTATAACAATGAAGATCACTTTAAATGAATTTATTACCTCGATTAAGCCATAAAAGAAAGCATTTACTATAAACGCAAAATGTTGACAAATGTTGATTGATTTAAAGCGCCTCAAAACAATGCCCCTGAAGTGGCAAAGACCAAAAAAGCGTCGAAAGACGATTGAAAAGAGGAAGGGGAAACCGCTAAAAGTTGTTAATAAATAAGCAATTTGAGGCGTGCCAAATACGGCCGAAACAATACGCTTGGCCATCTTGGGAGCTGGCGATTCAGATTCCCGGCTCTAGGCCGCTCAGAAAACTGGTTTTATTCACTTCAAATCGCAAAGCGCGCGCAATTAATTAATGCATTTTGCTCATTTGTCCAAGAAAGTGCGCGGCTCGGGCAGAAATCACGGAGGAAATTCCTTATTTACACAACCGCAACTCAGTCGTAATCCCAAAAGCAAACGAAATTGAAATGAAATTGTGTTATTGCTGTTTCTGCTGATTTGAGTAATTGATTAAATGAGTGAGCGCAGAAGTCAGGCGGAAACGCGGGGAGTTGAGGCGGGATTTATCGCGGAGTGACTCGCGGTTCGGACAAAACTCGCCTACAGTGACTCAGAAAAGTTTGCAGCCAAATAAGCTGCGAAATATGCAAGCTGTGACACCTGGAGGCCTTGAAAAATATATCTGCGGCTCGGTCTTGTAAAATTCATCAGATTTTTATCGGGGAACAGAGTAAATATAATCTCGAATTCTGTGAGAACTGGAGCAAGCCATTTGGTATGCAGATTTCGTGTTAGGCCCACGCTGATAAGATCTACCTAAACGATCTTGACACGCCCTCTTCCGTCACTGAAAATCAAACATTATGTCCACACCTCTACCGACACAAATATCTCAAAAGATATTAGATGCCTGCTACTATCTTACTAAAACATATAAATTCCTCTAAAATACGAACATTTTCCGCCTGGAAAAAGGAAGAATTGAGGCCTGTTTGGCATTCCAGTTTAGAGCATAAATTAGCAATTTGTGTCCATGGCCAGTGGCGCCAACTTAGTTGCACACTTTAAACCGTTGCAACTCGGCTTCATAAAGGCATGCTAATCGGGAAATTTATTAATAATTTATTAAAGCAATTTCCGTTGACACAGACACACTCACTAAGACCAACCATTAGGGGAACAAGAACAAGAACACGAACACGAGAGCAGAAATTCTAACGGCCGGCTGTCATTTTAGAGACCAAACTCGTTAGCGTGTCGAGCGAAGGCTAAAAGTGCAACAGGTACGCGAAGCTGAAGAAGCCAAGCTTTATATACTCTTTTGTTCATTTTCCAGCACTAGAACTTGCTGTCTTATGATCTCGATCTCTTCTCAGGACTATAATTTTTAAAAGAACCATAGTCTTATAGTTAACTGACAGAAGATTAATGTCTAGTAAGTAAGTTTATTATGTAGTCCATGAACTACTTGGAAAGGGTATCATCTGAACTCGCTAGCTTATGATCAATTGCAAATTTATGCCAGCACACGCACACATCACAGCCACAAAACCTGACGGAATTCCTCTTGAACTCCCCTTTCTCACCCCACCAAGATCCATTCCCATTTTTGGGATCACTCACCTTGAGGCTGTTGTAGGGCCGCTCCAAATGGAGCTTGGCCTGGATGACGTCACGACGCTCCTGCTGCTCTTCGTTTGGGGCCTGCAAAGACGTCATGGACTGCGACTGCTTGATTAGGTCGTTTCCAACACTGCCAGTGCCATAGTTCAGTTGAACACCGCCAGAGGCGCTCTTGGGAACTCCATTTTCCGTTCCCATTGCGTTCAAATTGGCATTTCCCTTCGATCCACGTCGCTGCTTTTTGAGGGAACTACTGCGGCTACTGCTGGCCGATTTAGTGGTTAGCCCTGCCTTACTTGGGGGCGTGGCTGGCATGGCGAATATGCCATCCGATTTAAGGGGTTTCGTTGTGTTTTCTTGATTTCGGGTGGTTGTTTCGCCGGGGGACTCCAACTCCCTGGCCGATCCTTCGTTTCCACCCTTCATCATGGCCGCTTTATCAGTCTCTTGGTTACTTGTCATCGCTGCTTCTTTCTCTGATTTCGGGACTTCCCCCTCTCCTCCCGTTCCGCTTTCCTGTTGCATTTCCATTGTTCTCCAACTCTATTTGGCTTTATTCCGCTCGTGTGCATGTGGGGGACATAGTATATTATTTAGAGAGCGAGTTATGCTAATCGGACCCCTCAAAAGTCGCCCAATATTTGCATGTCTGCCTGGCTTCCTCCCATATCCATTGTTTCCCGTTTCGTTGCCGACGTTCCGCTCCCTGGCAATGACCTTCAGGGCGTTCCTTTCGATTTCCGCTCGTTTTTATGCAAAATACTTGTTTCGTTATTTTGATAAAATGCCTGATTTGCGTATCCAAATTATTTCCACTGAAACGAAACCAGAGAGCGGGCAAATTTGCACATTAGTCGAAAGGAAATCAAACAAATTAAGGGGAAAACAGGTGGGCCGAGATGAAATGATGATTATGATTAGTGAGGGGCCGCCTCATGGGGTAGCATAATTAGCGGCATTGCAGTTATTCGTTTCTCATTTTCCTTCTACTAATGATGGGTATTATTACTAAAGCCATTAAAAGACGAAGCCGCAGTGCTCTGGGATCGTCTTTAATATGGATTCATTTCCTACAAGCTCTTCTTTTCGCCTCATCTACTGCATCTCCCATGGGCTGATGTAGCAGGTGCTTATAAAAGAGGAATTTCAATGATCACTGATCGTTTATTTACCTTTAATTGTGCTCTATTTCGTGTCTATCTTTGACTTGTTTCCCATTAAAGATCTAAAAATTAGAATGCATCTTTTAAGCATTCTCCCCAAGAATCAACTCTTTTGAATATCTCCACCTTTCTAGCTTTTGTGGCCATACTACTCGGACTATCAGATGTTGCAACACACTTCAGGTGATGAAAGAACCCTCTATCTCAATCTCTGTGACCCCTCCACTCCCCTCCCACATCAGCATAACTAGCTCAGGTAGAACCCCAGCTGAGTGCAGTGGCCACATCACGAACCCATTTCTCGTATCGCATATCACACCCACTGCAGAGCAAACAAAACGAAACTGTAAACGGCAATTAAAAGCAACTGTAAGCGGCAGACAACGAGCTACGTAACTACGTAGCACAGCGGGAGGGATGGGGGAAATTATAGTAATTACGTATGCAAAATATTACTTCATTTCGGAGCTTTGGTCAACGACTCCCGCAAAGCGGAGAAATATAAACAATGAACACGATTCTAATCGCGGGGCAATCAAAATTTCATACGAACTTAGTAGCGAAAAACAGTTGTGGGACCAAATTCGTATGCTAATTTGTTGGCCAAAAGGCGGTGGAAGTTGTCCGATTCCAAAATTGGCCTGCAAGCGTTCATTTAGCCACTTGAGCGCCAGGTCCCATAGCACCGAAAGACTCGACGAATAGTGAGGAAAAATGAATTGTAAAATTAGCAACTGAAACTGGGTGGAGGCGGCTATAATTGAGGGGGAGGTCGTTCCCCCAGTAGCAAAAATCAATGCTAAGTGCTGGAAGTTGAGTTTCCCATGTCTTTGGGCTAAAAGCCTTACAACACTAACCGCAATCAGAGCGTTATCCCATTAATGATAGGGCTGTTGATAGCCAGCGATTGCAGTGATCGACTTTCAATATTAATTCATTAACTAATAGAAAAGCACTGGGATTATAGTTGGCACAATTTCCTAAGCCAATCTTATTTGAAAACCATAAAGTTTCTTAGTTACTCTATAAACTAAACATTGACTCTTGCAAAGGCTTACCTTGATTGCTTAGTTTCTACAGTCTCGTTTAACAAAATGTATATTTAACTTTTTACTCTTCCACTTCAAAGAACCAACTTTTGGCGAAATCATTTTATGACTCTGTGCAAGAGCCTCAGACATATTAATTACATAATTAAGTAATAGCAATGAATGCGGCAAAGGCCCAGCTCTTTTATGTGCTAGCCATTAAATCCAATGTTTGCTTTTGTGGTTATGACTCATGGAACCTGAAATGGGGCCCAAGGAATTGCTGGATCCGCCGCTGTCAGACAGTCTCCCCTTTTATGCAAATTTCCACTCGGTCTGCATGCAAAATGGGGATTCGCATTCGCAGTGACTAACAACCGAAAGGCCGTCGAAAAGGCGTTGAAAAAGCTGAGAAAGATACTCGCAGTCCGTAGTCCTCCCCTTGCCGGCAAATTGGCAAATTCATTTGGGAAATTGCGAATTTCCAGTTTACGTTTCTTTGGCTTTCAGGTTTATAGGTAGGCTTGGCGTTCGACTTCCGCGTGGAAATGGGTAAGCTCGATGAGCTTTCCATGCCATTTGATAAAGATTTGGATTTATACGGCCTAAGAATTCGGGTTTACCAAAATTTATTCAACATTTTAATGCCCAATCAGTGGCTCTTTGAAGTTCAAGCCAGGCATTTGTAAGCCTCAAAGGTCCACTGATATGCAAATCAGACCCATTATGCCTCTACCAAATATTTAACACTTTCAGTTAATAACTCACTTCGCTTCCAACAGTTTTCTTTCTAGTCTTTTCCTGAATCTGACCACCTGTTGAACTCTTGCATAAGGCACCTGCAAACATTCGGTAATAGCTGAAAAGTTCCAAAGAAGACCGATCCAAAGTCAAAGTCCCGACCGACAACATGTGGAACATAAAGTTTTAGCCCAACAACAACAAAGCCCACAGACCTCGGAGACCCCACGGCAGAGGAAGATGAAGCCAAAGCAGAGGCCATTAATAAGCACAAAGAGGAGACAGTAAAGGGGCAGCCAAAGAGAGGGCTAAAAATAGACAAATATTTGCGTAGATATAAGCCAACGAAACCAAAATGAAGTCAACAAACATGTGGATTGTGGGGAGTGGTTTGGAGGAAGGGGTCTTCAAGATCGCATATTGGCTATGCCAGGCACGAAGTTTCCAAGTCGAGAAGCTCGTAAATCTGCCAGGGCTCATTGTTTGGCGTTATAAAATGCTGGGAAAGATTACAATAGAATCTATTTCGGGATTTCGGAAGACATGTTGTGGGTAAGCAAAACTTTCGATTTCCATTGGAGCATCGGTTCATAAATCTTCGATTGCGGTTGGAACTAAAAATCAAGGTCTTTCGTTTTAGGTGCTATATGGTTACTGATCACTGGCTGCGCTTCGTTCACATCCTGATTTCCCTCAAAATTCCAGTATTATGTCCATAACTCAGCCAATAATGGTCCAAATATGGAACGTAATACCTCGTTGAGCTTGAATTTTAAGCAAAATATTCAACTGGCACTCAAATCTAAAGCTAAAGAATATTTTTGAATTTCTCGACAAATTTTCTGTTGTTTCTGTTTCTTTTCGAAAAGGCGACAATCAGTCTGCCCTGATTTTCCGCCCAAAATACCAGTGTTTTCCCTATTGCAAAGCCAAAAAAGATCGTAACATGGAATGTAAAATCTCGTTGAGTTCGTATTTAAATTCCCCGTCGAACAGTGTACCCACCTCAAAAAGTAAATTTTTTGAGATTTTTCGTAAAATTTTATGATTTTCAAAAAATGCGAAAATCGGTATTTCACGATTTGTGTCTCAAAATATCAGTTTTTTCTTCACTACGAGGCCAAAAATGGTCGGAATCTGGAATGTTATATCTCGTTGAGCTTGTATTTCAATCTATTTTCCAAATATTCAAGTCCCATTCAAATCTGAAGAAAATAATATTTTTTCAATTTTTGGAAAAAATGATGATGGTACCCCTTACAAAAAATGCAAAATTTGAGAAAAAATAAACTTTCGAAAATCATCACCAAAATGATACAGAAAGATTGTTAGGGTCGTTAGCTGCACAAAACTGCCTTTCTTTTAGTTCTGCGACTTCTTTTGACAAAGTTATAAGCATAACACTGGGGAAAATGTCGCGAATTTAACCAAAAATGGTCGGAAAATGAAATGTAATATGTCGTTGAGCTTGTATTTGAATCTATTTTCAAAATATTCAAGTGGCGTTCAAATCTAAAAACAAAAATATTTTTTCAATTTTTCTTAAAAATGATGATGGTACCCCTTACAAAAAAGTGAAATTTTACAAAAAATTAAATTTGCGAAAATCATCTTCATATCCAAATGAAAAGTTTTCTGGGGTCGTTAGCTGCACAAAACAGTATTTCTTTTGGTTCTGCGACTTCTTTTGACAAAGTTATAAACATAACACTGGGGGAAAATATCGCGAATTTTTCTCAAAAGTCACAATTTTGATTATCAGCCCAAAATATCAGTATCTTCCTCATTGCGGAGCCAAAAATAGTCGTAACATGGAATGTCATACCTCGCTTAATTCGTATTTAAATTCCCCGTCGAACTGTGTACCACACTTAAAAAGTAGTTTTTTATAAATTTTTCGTAATTTTTTATGTTGTTCAAAAAATGCGAAGATCGGTTTCTCCCGAATTGTGTCTCAAAATATCAGTATTTTTCTCATTTCAAAGCCAAAAATGGTGGGAATATGGAATGCCATACGTCGTTGAGCTTCTTTTTCAATATATTTTCAAAATAATCAAGTGTCAATAAAATCTGATAAAAAAAATATTTTTTCAATTTTTGGAAAAAATGATGATGGTACCCCTTACAAAAAATGCAAATTTGACAAAAATTTAAATTTTCGAAATTCATCGCCGCAACCACATAGAATGTTTGCTTGGGTCGTTAGCTGCACAAAACAATCCTCCTTATAGCTGTGCGTCTCTTTTTGATCGAGTTATAAGCTAATACTGATAAAAAACAGCGCGAATTCCACTCAAAAGTCACAATTTGGTTTCATTGTCATTTTATTATTTCCCACAGCAACCTCAAAAATGGGCCAAATAAGGAATGCCATACCTCGTTGGGTTTGTTTTTTAATTTCTAGTCGAACTGCATTCAAATCTGCAAGAGTCATTTTTTGATCATTTTTAGCACAAATGGTTAATGTTATTTTAGTTTCGACTCGAATGCACTTAAACTTTAATCAAATTTCGATTTCCCCTTCAGAGCTCTTTGAAATCGAAAGCAAAACTTTCATTGTTCTGATTCCCAGAAAACCTTCTCCATTCCGTTTCCCTTCTCTTTGATCTTCACTCACTTCCGCTGTGCTCTCTATTTACTCGGCTTTTGGCCATCCCCAAAGAAAAGAGAACAGAACGCCCAGAAAACCGGATGTGAACTCACTTAATCGCAGTTTATTCACACGCTGGAAAACTCTGTGGCCAATTAAAGCAAATCAAGTGCCTGCAATTGAAAAACCTATTACTTTGTTTACTCAGTTTCTTCCGATGAACTTTACTCGTGCCTGAAGATTAGATAGAGTTGATAAGGCAATTTAGCGACCCTCGAGTGGCCCGAAATGTAATCAATTATATAGAATACTTCATTATCTACGCGCCCAGACGAGATAAGACTTCGAAATTCGTCGAGTTGGCCCCAATAAGTCGTGAAAATTCGCGTACTTGGCCGTAATTTAGTCATCGGCTGGCTTTGGGTGTGAAGTCATAAGTGGCGATAAAATCGTTGATAGAGGTGGTATTTTGGCCAGACTAGTAAACCCTAAAGCAGAAAACTTGAAACCGAAACTGAAACTGTATCAAAAGTAACAGAAATATTGCAAAAGCTAACTCCGATTGCAGACAGCGAGTCGACCTCAGAATCGGACAACCGGAGAGACCCAGACCGAGGAAATCGACATTCCGCAGACCAAAGCGTAATTAAAATATTGTTTATATTGCACAGCAGCAGCGCAGCAACCGGCAGTTGCAGCTATATTTTTTATGAACCAGCAGCCAACCGACTTATCTGCGAATTCTTCCAAGAATCGCGTTGGCACTGCCAACGTACGCCACCAATTTGGCCATTCAAGCCGAGTTGACCGGGCTAAGAGCCATGATTGGAGGAGACCCCAAAGGCAGACAGCATGCCATAAATTGACAATTGCCAAAGACAGTGGCTGCAGCCATAGCAACTGCAACAGCTGCTGCTGCAGCAGCAACACCTAATGAATTGTTAACTGCCCGGACAGGAGGAGCAGAGGGAAGGACTCACGAGGAGAGGTGAGACGGCGTCACTTTTGGCACACGTGAATGTTGGCCAAGTGGCCAAATCGCTGGCAATCTGGCGACCATAACAATAACCATATTGACTTGTAAACCAACATCGCGGCGAAGGTATTGGAGCAACCGCAACTGCAACCGCAACCGCAAAAACACAGAAAACAATCCCAATATGTGGTCCAGTGCAACCTAGTTTAGATTAAGGGGGCTGCCCACAGAGCCTTTTTTGCACCTTTTGTGGGCACCCAAGACAATGAATTGTTTAATTTGTTGCGGTCGTGTCTCGCTGTGACAAACTTGTATCGGCCGATACACGAGATATGGCGATGGCGAAGCAGATAACTGAGATTTAAAGGCTGTACAGCAGATAATCGCAGTCGAAGATCTATGATGGAAAGGGTTTTCATCCGTTTTTTAAACCAGGCAATCAGGCAATGTATATACCCTTTACTACTCTTCACATTCTACAACATATTTCTCTCATACAACCCTATAGTACGATAACTCCCCAACTTACCCTAACAATGCTAAGGAAACATTCCTTTGCTTTTCCCATGAACCCGCCAAAAAGTCAAAAGTCCTCCTCCATAAACAAGGAAAAATAAAAGCAAACTGCAGGTACAGTGCGGCACATGGCGACACGGAACATGGTAATGGAGTTAAGACACTGGGCAGGGGCCTCTGTCCACACACCCAGGCCAAGACAAAAGGAAATTTATTTGCGGTGCAAAAGCAATTAGAGAAGTGGTTCGCCACTGCAAGAGGACAAGAAATCGAAAGCTTTCGTATCTCGGAAAGTGGGGACAAATTTTTGGTAACATGCAAACATTGTATGGCCACCTCCCAACCACTAGGCCACCACCCAAACACCCTCTCCCTGCTGATCTGTCACCATTTCGTTACAGTCAAGCAACTTTACCGCGAACCCACTCTGGCGGCAGCAATGAAATACATTTATTTTTGGGTTATCTACAAGTCCCAATAAATTTTCATACCTTAAAAAGTCATAAACACAAATTTAGCAACCTATAAAAGTTACTTATAGGCGATGTTGTCGCCTTTTGAGTTGTCGCAAACGAAATTTGTCTACAGCCTATAAACATTTTTGGTTTCAATCTACACTCCCCCTTCCCACCCCTTCTAGACAACCCCCCTGCATGTTTACATTCCTGAGCATATGATAAATGCTTCGTGTGTTGCCTGTTTTTGCGGTTCGAACACGTTTTCCTCGTGTTCTGCGATCGTTTTTGGGGTCCCCAACATATTACACATGACACTAGAAAAGCTATCGGAGCACAGAAAAAATATGTTTAAGAAAAACTAGTCCCGAGTTGGTCACGCCCCTCCACAGGGAAGTCGTTTGTTATGACTACTGACCCACCAAATGAACGGGCGAACAGGAGGCAACTCCCCAGCCGGCTGACAGGTGCCGAAGTAGTAAATAACCCCGCAGTCACACCCCTAAGTGATCAGCAGCAAATTAGTGGGTTAAGTGGTGCAAGAAAACAGAAAACATAAATTTGATTCAGAGAAACTTAACTGAACTAGAGGGAAGCCAGCGCTAACTTAGAAGTAGCTAAACTCAGCACTGAGACCTCCTAGTTAAGCTTCCATCATCGCATTGGCCTGACCCTGGCATTGACCCACTTCTAAGTGGCCCCAGTTTAAGCTCAGGTCCAGACTCCACGCCGTAACTCTCTTAATTAACCGCTCAAAGTTTACTTATCCCGCACGACAGCCACAGATTGAGAGATACGGATGGAGACTGCTAATGAACCCATCTGTTTTTCGCCACGGCAGAGTTAATTAACCGACAATTACTCACATAATCGAGTGTGAAGAGCGCGCGAATTGTGCGAAAGTCGAAATTCAGTGAGCTGAGATGTTTGCGGCCAACACATCCATCCGAAGCATTCGAAGCCATTCAATTCAATTCACTTTCGGCTGAAACGAGATACAAGCCAGCCAATAAGAGAGATAAGTAAATGCGTGTTAAAACAAATAAGCGAAATGACGTGAAAATGTTTTGAATGGAGCGGAAACGTAAGTTGACTAATGACAACCACAGCAGCAGAAACAGCAAGCAAAATGGGAAATTGTTCAGCGATGTTTGATATTAGCACTTGGCTCAGACACAGATATACGCTCCAGCCGTTGCATAATGGAAAGCCGAACGCAGAAACTGAGGCATAAACCATCAACTTTTACCAGCCAGCATTTGCCCAGCCGCATTTTCGGTACTCTAGCAGGGGGTATCATAAACCTGATGGCCAGCTCCAAATTAGTTTTCCACTCCTCAACGTTTTTATGCTTACTTATGGAAGGAATGTCTGATTTATGGGCCAAAGGTGGCATTAATAGGTAGAATGTTTGATAGTTTACAAGTTCTTTCTTCGTATTTCAAACTCCACTCCAAAGCTTACAGATCTCTAAGCTGTATTGTTCTTTTGGGGTTTACCATCAAAACGATTTAGGGAACATAGTTTTTAGTTCTAAGTCATTCCATATACTCGATAATCTGTGTTACTGAAAGGCGCAACTAACAACCTAACAAGGGTATTCCTAGCTCTGCATTATCCTAACGTTATTTAAGGAAACCTTTCGCCAGACACCGCCGCAACCTCGGAGCTGTCTCCAGCGATAAATCAGCTGCGCCGAAAGCCGCTGAGAAAAAAGGCAAATACTTGCCAGCCAAACTCCCACAAACTTCGACCGCTGCACGACATTTTTTTGCATTGCAGTTTTGACCGAGGGCGGTCGCATAACAATTCATTATCATTAATTATATTTGCACTCAAATCGTAGAAACGGAAAGCGAGAGGGAAACCCAGCTCGGAAAACTCGAGGACCAGACGACGAGCCGAGCTGGACATGAAAAATTGAACAATGTCGATTAAATTGAAAACAATTTTAGGCCGCAAAATTTCAATATTTCCCGTCATTTGCCGTTAGGCTCAACGTCCCAAAGACAACAGCTTAAACGGCATTCCCGACCCACAAAAAATCGGATCTCGAGAGTGGAAAAGAGAGGCAAAATATGGCTCATAAAGCATCGAACATCAACGGCAGAAATCGGCAACAACAATTTATTGGTCGCATTAACCTCCACGAACTCTCTCACTTCTCTGGACCGCTCCGGGGGCGGTGGGTGTTGCGGGACGCCAGTCAATCGATGCGAGTTGTGAAAATATCATTTACAGGCAATTTGTAAAAAGCAACAACAGCGGCAGCAACAGCGGCAGCGAAATAGCTGAAAACTCAGCTAAATTTGCACGAACCAAAAAAATCAAAAACAAATGGACGTCGTTTTACTTTGCAAACAAAAAGAAAAAAGAGAGAAAAGCGGCTGGGAAAGGGGGCAGCAGGGTATCTGTGGTCAAGCTGTTAAAGTCGGAAATGGGCACAAACGGCGATCGACAACGGCAGCAGCAGCCACGGCAGAAATGACGACGACGACGACGACGACGACGACAACGTCTCCAGGCGATAATTGGATCCCTTTCCCAGTCGGTCTTGGAGTAAGGAGGTCTTAGAGGGGGCTCAAGGGGAGTACTCGCAGTAGAAATTCAATATACTTTTCCTCTTTTGTTCAGTGGGAAATTTCTTGTGGGTTTCTCAGAGATCAGAAATCTTGACGTGGACCCAACAAAAAGGTAACCAAAATATGGATTTCAAAAGGGGGCTGCCTAACTCAACCCCACAAAAATAAACATCCGTAAGTGGTAAGTTCTAGCTGAAAGTTAGATAGTTTCTGAAATTTAAAGAACCGACAAGTAAAGCTGTAACTATACTCCCCAAAACCGTTCATTCAGCTTTTTATGAATTCCTTTTGGTAACCCTAGAACCCTTTTATGCGGTGCACCCAATACCTAACACATTCTCCACTTATCCAACGCTCTCATAAGCCTTTTGTCTGCCGAGCTTTTGGCCGCCCAACTGAAATCCAAGCCAGAAGTGCAAAATGCAGATGCGGAACAATCCGAAATTCTGTCAGGTGAGACGCAGAGCAACTGCAGCTTTCGGCTGCCTTAACAAAAACAAAGGCAGGAAAATGAAAACAAAAGCCGAAATCAAGAGCTTTCGCAGAACTCTTGGCTGGGCAGAATGAGATGTGTTTTCGAGGGTTTCGTGAGAAAAAGAACGAACTTCAAAGATATTCAAGCTGAATGCCACTTGAGTTCATTAACGAAACCCAAACGAAAGCGAAAGAGGAAGAGCGGCAGGGAGAAATGCATTCGAAATGCAATAGAAAGTGAATTGCGTTGGCAAAACAAACCGTTGGCCACGGAAAATCTCCTCCAAATGAGCCGCCAGATGTCGGCGATGTGTATGTGTTATGGAGAGACCCCTCCAAGAGCCCCTCCCCACCACCAGCTCCCATGACCTTGTTCGCAAATTCTGTTGACGTACATCGAACATGGGTGCCACCATCCACATCCACCAAACGAGACACCATCCTTGGCGCTTTTCCAGCCGATTGCCATCAGAAATATTTGAGATTCACTTTCGGAGCTGCCTTTGCCAGCCTTTGCCAGCCAGCAAAAGCAGCTCAGCCAGTGCTGGCAGTAAAAACAATGCCTGGCAGTCGCGCATTGACAACTCATAGATAAAATGCTTTTCCTTAACTATGACGCGACTTCCAACTGCGACGGGCTCTTCTCAATGGCAGCCAAACAATGACAAACTCTGCCACTGCCACTGCAACTGGAAAGTGGAAGCACACAGCGAAAGCAGCCAAGCCTATACTTTCCTATACCCTTCTTAGAACATGAAATCAAACTAAAATCAAATCAAAGTGGCAAACTTTTAAGACAACGCAAAGCCTAAAGATCGCATGTAGAGAGTATTACTGAATATAAAAAATGAAGGCAACTCCTTTCACAGAACAGCTATACCCCTTTGGAGTGCATTGGAAAATTGTCGTCAACTTGTTGGGGATGTGTGGGCTGGCATTCAGCATTCAGCATACGGCATTCGGCACTCTGCTTTCAGCATGCGAGGCACCAAAGACTCGAATGAAATGCCACAGATTCGATTTTGATAAAATACCAAGCAACAAGTTGGCACCGTAAGAAAGACAGAAAGAAAAAGTGAGTTGGGGGGGGCTGCTAATGAGGAAAAGAGATGGCGCAGGCGCGAGCCGCCTGGCGATAAATCTTCCAAAGTAACTTTTGCCATTGCAACTGCAACTGCAACTGCCACTGCAATTGCAGAAAATAAACAGAGGAAACGAGAGTAAGCAGGCGAAATAATCGCAGTTAAGAGGGAAGAGTGGTGGCCAATGGGTAATATCTGCCGTGCGTAAGAGAGATATAGATATATAGATATATATTTGGTATCTGTCTGACGATAATTGGGCCAAAGCGCATGCTTCGGGCACCGGCAGGTCGGGTTGGTAATTGATATGTTTACAGCTCTATTTTATTCGCAACTCAATTAAACCAGCGTCAAGCTGTGACAAGCCATAAACCGAGGAAGACAATCCAACAATTAGAGTCTCGATTTGTTTCTACTTTGGTTTGGTTTGGCTTGGCTTGTTCGGTTCACTTTCGTTTTCCATTGCCATTGCCATTTCTATTTCCATTTCCATTTCGATTTCGATTGGAAGTGTGAAAGGTTCACAGCGGAGTGGGGATCTTCAGGTGGTCTTGTTTGATCTCTTTGTGACTGCTTTTCCTTTCGGTCAGGGTTGATGAATCCAAAGTGATCTTCAACTTACCGATACGATCAGATGGCATCATCTGTTCGGTGACTTGGCGACACGTTGAAGTGATCTTTCTTCGGCGGATAACATCAATTGGGTTAAGATGTCTGCGATAGATCACTGATCAGTGACAATTAAATGGCAGTTCTGGTTGAGTCAAAGATAATGTCAAGATCAGAGAATAAAGAGCTAACTTTGGTTCTCAGACTGAGTTTGATGACAATGCGGCTGAGCTGTGCAAAGTTCCTAAGACCTTAAGCATAAGTTCAATCCACTAACCTTTAATGCTCAGCGATCAGCGGAACGTAATCAGCCGTTAATGTATGTTTTAATTACACCTCTCTTGACAGGGCAATGAAATGGAATATAAATGCTTTTTGTTTGCTGAGCAGACTTTACTTTATAGAAGTCAATCCCAGACACTTTGGACCGCAGGCCTGCCTTTTGAACTCCATCTGATAATTTTTAGCGATCTCTTGGCCTCAATTTGCTGTTAATTGGCCAACCCATCAACCCAGATTGCTCAATATCAAGTTTTTCCTTCAATTTTAGGTCGCCTGGTTTCGATTATATAAAGTCCTCGCATATGAAAAACCAGCCGATATGAATGGCCGCTCGTTTGACAGACTAGCTGAGTGACTGCCCGAACTGAGCCAACTCATATGTACGAATGCCTCATGGGTGGGGGCACCCTAGTTATAGTGCCACAAAAAGTGGGGAAAAGCCACAAAGTAACTTTACACCGAGCAATTAAAAAGGTATCAAGGCACTGCAAGCAAAAAGTATGCACAGTGGAACGCTGAGCGACTTTGACTACGACGCTCAAATTGAAATTGGGATAGTTGTTGAAATTATTGGCGAGGATCACAGGAGTCTCTGCTGGAGCTGGAGCTGGGGCTGGAAAAGCTTTAAGCAAAGCGTGTCCCCGGCATCTGGAAAATGTTCGTTAATTGCACAAAATGCTACTTTGCCATTGTCACAGCTCGGGACTTTTACTTTGGCAAACTGAACAAACATTGGACTGACTTCCTGTGCCTCATCAAAACCGAGAGACATGCAACATGGAATCGGCTTTTGTTGTTCGTTTCGTTTCGTTTCGTTTTTCTCTAATGATTAATTGACTTTTGCACCCAAAACACGTTCGATCTTTGTTTGATCTTTGCTTCCTTTGGTGGCCACCTCGGCAACTCCTCTTTGCCTACCATTTATCCTCGTCTTTGGTCTTTGTTCAATTGGAAAA